CTAAAAAAAAAACATCATAAGAAAATGAAGTAGAACAACAAAATTTTACTAGTGAATATGATTGTCCATCCTCTAAAAATCAGATTTGAAAATGAAAAATTTGAAGCCCTTAAGTATAGAATTTTGTAAATATTTTTTAAGTGCGATAAACTGCTGGGCATGGCGAATTTTTTGGTGAGCTTACCAAATTCACTAGAAGCGCGAAGAGAAAAAAAATTTGCTCTGGTGTTGGATCTAGCAAATGGACGAACTAATTTGAACTTTTCTCCTCTAGTAACAGAAGGAAGAACAGTGAAGAGGCTTTGCAAATCAATCGGCACTTTCCCGACAAGTATTTTGAATAACATAATGAGATCAGTCTTTTCCCTTCTGCGAAGAAGAGATTCCAGACCAAGCATTTTGTTCCTGACAACAGCCCTGGGTATGACATTGTAGTTGAAACCTAAAGAACGGACCAGAACCTTCCTAGTAAAGCTGTTTTGAACAGACTCTAACCTGGAGATGGTCTTCTTCTTGTGGGGAAAGAAAATAATCGATCCATACTCCAGAATAGGACGGATGTACGACTTATAAGCCTTGATGAGGATACATGGATCTTTGGTGTATAGAGTGCGAAAGAGTTGTAATAGCCTGACTTCAGCTTTATTGGCTATAGCGGCGCAATGTGACTCGAAATTCAGCTTGTTATCAATGAGAAATCCCAAGTCCCTAACCGCTTCAACCTCATTGAGTTCGCAACCACCTATGTAGTAGGCGCTCCTCTCCTGGGGCCTGCCTAGATGCAAAACCAAAGTTTTGTTGGAAGCCAATGGTAGCTCCCACACATCGGACCACTTGACAACTGCCTCAATGGCTTCTTGGAGCGTCTCAGCATCCTCTCGAGATCCTAATTCCTGGTAAATCTTGACATCATCTGCGAATGCTTTGCATTTGACATTCAACGATGCAGGCCACAAGTTCGATCCCCTAGACGTCTGAACTTGTGAGTCTCCGCCACTCCGTTGGTGCTCTTTTGCCCGTCCATGAACTCCCGTTCGATAGGACAGTTCAGCAGGTATATCTAAGGTACGATCTTGAAGGATCGGGCGTTTGAACAGGCACATCTAGGCCGATTCCATCTCTTCTATAGGTAATGGCGACCCTTAACGACTCTTTTTCCTTGTGTTCCAAGTTCGCAGCGAATAAAAATTGGTTGATAAAAAAATGTGATCACTTTCCGCCTGTGAGTTCAACAAAAACCTTAGGGATGAAAAGCCGTGTACAAAAACGAACAGTTGGGAATTCTCATTTTATGTAGACCTTTTCGTCAAAAGGTAAACAATCTAATTTTGGCGCTCAGTTTGATTATCGACATTTGGTTTTCGCCTAACTTTCCAAGATATACTTCCTTATCATTGCCTTTCTGTTCCGGCACCGCCGCTGATATTGTATTACATTTCTTTGACTCTAGGAGACAGAAACACAGATATCGCAAAAAACGAAAAGAGCATCTGGTGCAGACCATACACCACCAGATGACGACGGCCTTCAGGCCTTCATGTTAATCTAGTTAGCAAGTGGTTCATAGTAACGGTGCTAACTTAGTTGGGAGGAGGACCAACGCGGCTGTGCGGCGCTCTGTTCGTCTGCTCCTCTAAGGCTCAGTCCAAGGGGCAGTTACTATTTCGTCGCCACGTGGCAGTTTCGAAATACGCGCCATCGGCGGACTAAGAGTGGAAGCCCTTGTGCGGAGGGGCAGACGGGCAGAGGGCCGCGCCGGCCGCGTGCCCCTCCCCCCCCCCCCAACTGAGTTAGCACCATAGTAACAGCCGATTTTTTTAAATGGATAGTTGTAGTCAGTGAAAACTGATGGAATACAACTCCGACAGGCTATTCCTTTCATTGGCAGAAAACATTTACATTTTGTGAATGCCGTCGTCGATTGTGGTGTGATGGTCTGCACTCGACGCGCCCTTCTCGTTGAAAGGGAAGTTACCTATCACATAATCGCTTTGATTCTGTAAGTACAGGTACTTTCAAGAATGGATCACGCCAAGGACCTGCAGTTACATAGGTTAATAGTTCTGTCAAACTCAGGTCTGGAAGGATGCAAACTCGGTTTGGTGTATGCACTTGTGCAGTTTCAACAATCTCAATCATTTATTGGGAAGGTATTGATCCATTTGACTTGCTAAGAATGGAAGGTACCCTCTATTCCGGAAAGAAGAGCGTCGAGGGCAGTCCACACACCACAAAAGAAGACGAACAAGAAAAAAAGTGGCTTTTTCATGTCTTTTCTGCTTGACTTTCCTCACTTGTGATGTGTGTCTGCACTCGATGCCCTTCTCCTTTTCTGAATTAAGGGGTAAGTGGTATTATTGGTTTACGGAATGAGTAATTTCAGACTTTGATCTCGAAACAAGTATGTCAACAGTCGGAATCGCTTCTATCATTTCAGTTTCGCCGGTGCTCCAGTTAAGCAAGGCTAAATGGCTAACATTATGCGAAGTGGAGGCGGGAATCAGTGGGTATATAAAGATGCAGTCACAACGAAACTACAGCACAATGTTCGAGGAGAAACTCATTGTTGGTGTGGCTTCGGCCTGCTCCAACTCTGACCATCGTCGCCTGCCTTATCGTGGTTCCATCGTTATACAACACCATCAACGAAATTCACGATGAGGTCCTCGAAACTGTCTCTGTGTTTCCGCGTCGAGACCGACTCTGCTTGGACCAAAATGATGGACTTCCAAGTCACAGTCGCTCCTCCATCCAAGCCTCGTGAGAACCCATTCGGCTCCATCTTCCGTTCGAAGAGACAGGCCGGTCTTCCCTCATACTGCCAGTGCACTCCTCCTAGAGTGACCTGCCCACCTGGACCACCTGGACCTCCTGGACGACCTGGAGCACCTGGTAAGATTGAATTTTACAAGCATTCTACTTGACTCAATCCTTATGCTTGACATTTAGGACAACCTGGAGCACCTGGTCAGCCTGGTAGCGACGCCACTACAACATACGCTCCAATCATCTGCCCTGGTCGTGACAACACTTGCGTACAATGCCCGGCTGGACCTCCTGGACCTCCCGGACCAAGTGGAGCTCCAGGAGACAGGGGACCGAACGGAAATCCAGGACGAGCTGGAGGCCCTGGAAACGATGGCGGTCCAGGACCAGCGGGACCTCCCGGAGATGCTGGAGCACCAGGAAACCCTGGATCAGATGGACAGCCCGGACAGCCCGGAAGAGACGGAACCACTGGATCGGGAACTCCTGGACCTCCAGGACCTGCTGGAGGTGTTGGAGCTCCAGGAAACGCTGGAGGACCCGGAAACGCTGGTGCTCCTGGAAGGGCCGGAGGACCTGGACCCGCTGGTCAACCCGGAGGTCGAGGACAGCCAGGAAGAGACGGTCAACCCGGAAGACGTGGAAACCCTGCAGGTCCGGGAGGAGACGCGGCTTACTGCCCGTGCCCACCTCGCTATGCTGCTTCTGCACGTGCACGCAAGGCACGCGCTTGATTCGCTGCACTTCAATAAATATTTTAATTCATGCTAATTGTATTATGAGGAATCGCTGATCCTGATGAAGCACTGCTCATTAGAAATGCAAGAGGAAATCTTTGTTCAAATTCACGAATTTTTCGTCCCTTTGCTGAAGTCAGGGTGACTTCTTATTTGAGACACCTGCAAAATATGAAAAAACCTAGAGCATTGGTCTATTGCGAATGAAAGCTTTAACCGCTACTGCGCGCTCGACAATGTAGGCTCACAGAAGCTGGATAGTCTACAGAAGACGTTCAACGACTGACACACTCTACTTCTTTTCCTCTTCCACTGAATCTATTATTCCTCAGTGCAATGTTTTTGTAGTCAATGATAATGACATAGCTTAATATAAGTCCAGGAAGAAAATGGGTAACGAAGAGCGTTCAAACAAAGTGGGGGCGGGGGAGGGGCGGTGGAGAGTGATCCAAAAAGTGAAACAGCCAAAGATTTGGAGATCATGCTCCTAACCATGCTTTCTTTCTTACTGCGACACTGCGACTTGGAAAGCACGCGTTAGAGCACGTGTCACTAGCCACTAATTCGTAACCAACGCTGCTTGTAGCCGCTACCGCTATCCTTAGAACAACCACGGTGGGCGCGACGCTCTACCTTATAGCGCCCTAATCGCTCATTTTGAGCGGCGAAGACGGGTACCCGACAGGAGGCCGTCGCGCGGCAATAAGGCAGAGTCAGCGGACGAGTCGCAGCGCGTACTGTAGTGGATTTCGCGTCAAGCAGAATAGAATGTGTCCATTGCACGTCCTACATTCGCACATCATGCGCTGTGACTCGTTCGGTTCAGGTTCACGGCCTAGAGCATGCTGGTGATAATAAAAAGGCTTGATCATTGAGAAAAGTTCACTCGAGTGTGGTATGAAGCAATGACTTTGTCGTATACCATCGCAAACCTACAAACAGCCATCGTTTTCGAAGAGCTAGTAGGGTCTATCGGCCGAATAAGCATTGTTCATCGGAATTCTGCCCCACTTACTGTCAGCCTATACCAAGTAGACATTCAGCTCTCCAGCGAAGCTTTAATCGAGATATGTTGATAGAGCTGAGAAGACTGGTTACAAGCTAGAGTTGCACAATTACCCGCAAAGGAATAGGTGAGCAGTCAGGGTTAACGGGAGATATGTATTGCGTTACATATCCCTCCAGGCATTCAATATCGTCGTGGAGCAGTTGCAGTAATTCGTGAGTTTGTGTAGAAAAGGAAGGAGCCATCGAAGGAAAGGAGTCGTCAAAATTCTCGAAATGGAACAACGAACTTTTGACCTTGTGGCTCATTCTCGCCTCTTGCGGTGACAATTGCACGATGAACTCGACTTTCTGCATGACGCATACTAGAGCCACCTGTGTCGCGTTCGCCATATCACTTCACTGTAGACTGTCGCTATCACTCAGCCGGGACAGTCCATACCAATGACTGTGTTAATGTCGCCCGAATGGAGAAGTGATATCGTTTGCGGGACACCTTCGCAAGGGGCAGGCAACGGCATCCATCACATGACACCGTTGTTAAGAATCTGAACTGCTGTGACAGTTGGTGAAGAGTGACGTGATGCTGGTAGAAGGTACTTGCAACTGGATAATTATAAGCACTTGTTGCATCTAGAAGGCACGGTATCAGGTATGGCAGGACATAGTCAATAAGTGAACTAAGCACCCTCTTGGTATGAAACCTTCCGCTGATGTCACTATTCGATGATTTATACTGCTCTTTCATGACGCTGATGTGCTTAAATAGAGATGCTGGCGACCAACACACTCGGCATTCCCCGCTGCTCACAACGGCTAAGCCTCAAGGAGTAGGGAGACGTGCGCAATTCACATTTTCAACCAGAGTTCCTGCTCCCCTCCAAGGCTCAGTTCGCATTGTGATGCCCCATCCGAACGCCACTAGCGCCCCATCTCATTCTTCCACCTGTCCCTGCCCGTCTCCATTCCCCATTTACAACCACCTCCTTCTCTCACTCAAATGAATAAAACCCCTAGGCGACGTGAATCTTCGAGGCCCGGTCACATTTGTTCAAAGTTACCCCATCGTTCTTCACCCGTCAGAGTACTGCCACAGCCCAATCGAGACAAGGGCGCTCATGTCTTCAGGATGGACATTCAAAACGGGACGTTACAAAAACCGCTGGTAAGTGACACTAGGACCCAATGCTCCAGAGTTGGCGGAATAAAAAACCAGGGAAAGCAATGATCGGCGTCAAATGTTTCTCCGTGAACTCGTTTTTACGCTCTCTAAAGTTTCAGTACCGAGTTCAACGAGTGTCCCTCTCATAATTAAATGTCCCCCTAGGAACGAGGCAATTTTATTCGATCACCGCACCTGCTTGGTAGGCCTACGCCCAGCATTGGAAATAATGCGAGAAACTCCAGAATAGACTTGACCCCCCCCCATTCCACAGCAGTGTAATTCATAAGTTACTTACCGTAGTCTACTACCGTAGTTTTGACTGCTTGATCAGGTTGTCCCGGGGTATTTTGGAGCAGAGATGCTAGGCCTTCCTAGACATTGTTAGCAGAGCCTGGTGAAAACGCGACACACGTTCGGGAAGACGTGAGCGTCCGTAAGTTAGGTGTGATCTGATATCGTGGCTATCCTGAAGATAATGATTATGGAAATATATCTGGTCGGTTCAGTTGTCGGCTCCTTCTCACCTTGCTTGGCTGTCACATCAGTTCTTCTCTGTAAGTCTTCTTTCAACCAACTTGGTTCACCGGACCGGTAAGTGCTTATGAGCGAATTGCGAAAAATGAGATGATTTGAGGAAATGGGTGCTGTCGTAAACATGATACGAATTGTTTTTCAAGGAGGATGAAAATGACTGTCGAATTGAGCATAATATTCCTATTTCTAACAAGTAAGTTAAAAACTGTTTCCATCATTATTCATTTTAAGTGCGACGCTGGTGCTCGCAGCGTGGGGCATCGCTTGCATCGTAGTGCAGCTGGAAGGAGGGGAAGCTTTGCAGAAAACAAATTGCTCACACATCCCCCCTCCTTGCCCAACCCACCCCTCTAAGGCTTAGCCTAGGCTAGGAGGGGCGTTGGCTCTATGAGCTCTGCATAATGATGTCCCACCCGACGACACCAGCGCCTTCAGTGCTGCTATAATTCGACAACTGATCCACCAACACCATCATTTTCTAGAAGCGGTGAGTGCCTACCCAAAGGAATGCCTTTTTGTGGGCGATGTGAGATACTGCGAATCCAGTAAATCGCGCTGCATAAACGCGTGTGTCGCTTGAACCGCCGGCGCATCGCTCATACCATTCGCTGATCGCAAGCGATTCACTGAGTTCGCTAAATTTGACACCGACCTAAAAATTCAATTGAGACTGCTCACCTCTGAGACAACTTCATGGCATGGGCACTATCGCAGTATACGGGGGCACTGTGGTGACAGTGCATTCAGAACTGCGTGAAAAGAATCTTTTTTTGTTAAAAACGGGACTAACAATAAGCCTTAGACCGAGGTGGACAGTCTCCAACGTGCGCTAGCCATTTTCGTCATCCCCTGGAGCTCCTGCCCCTGGACTGTGAGTTGTTTGTCGTTGGGAATAGAAATAGAGGTGGCAACTGGTGCAGTCGTGAAGAGAAATCAAGGAAAGATTGCTATTCCCACTGAAGGGGATTTACCCATAGATCCGCGCTCCAAGAGTTTCTGAGATAAACGATCATCGATGTGAATACCTTCCTCTGCCTTGACACACTCTCGCCGTAGCCAGCAGCCCCTCATCAACAACCAACTACGAGTCTCCTTGCTGCAAAAAGACCTTTTCTCGCTTCTCTAGGGGCCTAGCTTTCCTTCATATAATAGTAGGCAGGTTCAACA